ATAATATAGCAGTGACCAAAACAAAGTCCCCACTTCAAAGTACTTTATGTCTAGGAGGCAGCAGAGGAACTGGGAGAGCATGGGTGATAGATTTAGGGGTGTGGTTTGAAATTCATGACAAGGGGTGATGGTTGGAGCTTTGGAAGCATATAAGGTACCAGGGAAGAGAAAGCGAAAAGGATTGGAGAGGAAAAAAAGACCTGAGGTGATAGAACCTAAGAAACATTCTGTGGAGAACCAACTAATTATACTCCATGATAGAAAGCACATTCTTCATCAAGCTGACACAGCAAACTCGTCCCTCAAAATATCCTGTTGTGGCTAAGAAGCTGTAACACACAGAAGAGATAATGTCCATTTAGATTCCCAGCTCTCCTTGACTACATCACTCCTGTATATGAAGCAAAAATCACACCAGAGTCCTATATGGTTTTATACAAGAGCAGGTCTATTTGGTTTCCTCAGAAAGGTCGTTAATAAATACCAGTGTACGTAAATATGCTATAGGTGACTACCTAAGTTGTTAGCCCCTCAAATCTTTTCCTAGACCAGCTGGTGTTTTTTAACTTTTCTCCCAAGTTATTGGAGTAGATCCAGAAGCAGATTCTGAGATCCTCAAGCTTTTCCTTATTTACCCTGCCAGTAATGACATGTCACAGGTTGTCTTCCCTACTGGAGTCTGAGGCTGAGCAATTAGTCTCCCATTGTCTTTACAGGAAATGACATCCATGTGGCTTCTGGGGAAAGCAACTGTTGACCGCTCTGGTTAAAATAATTTGGAAACTGTTCAGCACTTCCTCTGGTTGGTCATTTAAACTGGCTGATTTGGAAAGCTTTTGGAAATGCACAAAGCAAACAAAGGTTGTCAGAACCAGAAATACTCCTGGGTCAGTTCCCCAAACAAAACAAGTCTCTAAACTGTTGCCTCTCAATGCACTGACTTGTCTGGACTCTTGAGCATATGGCTAAGCCCAATGTCTCTATGTTCTGTCCTTTTTATAATGCTTTACTGGGCACTGATTTGCTGGAAAGATGCTTTCCAGCTGCAGGTAATTGAAAACCCAACTCAAGGAGGCCTGAACAGTAAGAAATTTACTAGAGCTCCATTGGTTCCACAGACTTCAGGGTTGATCTGATGCAGTCACCCCAACTCTGCTTCCGTGGGACTTTTGTCTTTGCCCACCTCTTTGGGCCAGCTTTATCATTAGACTGGAGCAAGGTAGCTACAGAAGTCCTAGGCATCATATCCCACACAACATTCAGAAGGGGGTAATTTATCTCAGAATGAGAAGCTCCGAGCAAAACATTCTTGACATCTTGTTGGCCTGAATTGGGTCACATGCCTAATCTTGAACCTGTCACTGTCAAGAGGAATGTGTTCCCCTTAGATCAGTGCATTTGAAACCCTGTGACATACAGATCACCTGGGGATCTTATAAAATAGATTCTGGTTCGGTAGGTTTGGGCTGGGGCCTCAGAGCTGACATTTCTCAGAAGCTCCCAGGTGATGCTGACGTTGCTGGGTAGCACACCACAAAGCCCTGGGCCCTTTAGGTCCCCACCCTCCAGCTGGAGTGCTGTCACCTGCCCCTGAGGCACTGTGGCTAAAGAGATATAGGGGATCTGTTAGGAAGAAGGGTGAAGGAATGACCCGTGCAGATGAGAACTGTATTAGAGATACTTGTTCCAATGGTAATGAGAATGTTATCCTTGAAACCAGGAGCCACACAGGGTCTTTGATTTGTAGTAGAAGCAAAAAGTTCATGCAGGGCAATGTGTTGTGTGGGAATGCCTATGAATATCTTACTATTTATTTATGGGGATATATATGTCATAATTCTTGAAACAAAAGAGTAAACAGTCATGTTGCTTTCCTCATTATCATTCAGTTCTTTCTATTTAATAACATATATCTAATGTGTCTCAAATTCAAAGAGATGGATGTAAATGTCCTTAAGTTTAAAAAGAGTGTGCCAAGCCCAGCCTTTGATCTGAGTGAATATGTCATCTGTCTTAGTTCTCAGGGAGAGTACACCCCTACTGTCCTCAGGGTCACTTGATAGGAGGTTGAGCATGAAAAATGCTGCCGGTGGCAGATTTATGCCAAAACAAAAGGTCACAATACCTTTATGAGTGATTTCAGTGGAGAAAATCATCATGCTCTCATCATTTGAAAAGGAAGAACTATTTTGTGATTTTTTTTTTTAAGTTTACTTATTTAAGTGACCTCTACACCCAGTGCAGGGCTCAGACCCATGACCCTGAGATCAGGAATCGCATGCTCTTCCAAGTGAACTAACTAGGCACCCCTAATCTATTATTTTTAAATTTTTCTTAATAAAAGATACACAGGAGTCCTGAGCTGTGGCTGTTTTGGGAAAAAGTTGGTAAGACCAAAGGACTGGTGTCCGTCCTGGGGCAGATCCATCATAGACCCAGTGGGGCTCAGAGTGAAATACACAGTCAGGTGTTAAGTAGACTTTCCTGAGACAGTCTCTTTGGCGGGGTTGTCATCTCTGACTTCATCTGCAAGGATGGTGTCACTTAGGAGGGAAGATGACATTTCACCACTCCATCTACTGGAACCATGGGCTCACATCCATGAGACCAATGGAAAACCAGAGCAACTCTTCAATGGCCTTGCCTACATAGGTCACCAAGGTGCCCATTCTTAGGAAATCACCAGATATGTCTTGTCTTTGCAAAAGCCCTGAAAGGTTGAGAGATGCCCAGCTACTCTCCACCAGGTGGGGAAAGCTGCTAGACTCGGTGCTCCATGAAGGCAGGGACTGTGAGCCCCCTGTGTGACGCGCTGCCTGGACTGCTGGTCTGTTCCCGGGAGATCTGTCAGCAGCACTGACTGAGCATCCACGCTCTAGAGAGAAGTAAAAGAAGAGAACATTTTGTTGCCTAACTTAAATAATTTATACTCTAAATATGGAGTGTTTAGGGGTCCTGTCTACATATTTAGGACCTCATAGCCTGCCAAAGAGAGGTGAAATAATAGTCATGTTAGCTGATCTGTGTGGGGCAGGCAAGAAAGCCCTTTGACTCACTGATTGATTCAAACAGTGCCAGCCGCATGCCTTCCCGCCTCTGTGTGCTGTGAGGCAAAACACTATTAGCCATGGGAGGAATTAAAAAAAAAAAAAATAGCGCCTCCCCTTACAGCCTAAAAATTAGGATACAGTAAGTGTATTTCAAGTATCTATATCAAATAAAACATAATTTTTTGAAAGAGAAAAACAAAGAGGGGTAAGATCATAGCCATTGGGAAAATCAAGGTAGAAAGGGCTCAAGGAAAGGCGCCTGGGTGGCTCAGTCGGTTAAGCGTCTGCCTTCAGCTCAGGTCATGGTCCCAGGGTCCTGGGATCGAGCCCCACATCAGGCTCCCTGCTCAGTGAGAAGCCTGCTTCTCCCTCTCCCACTGCCCCTCCACCCTGCTCGTGCTCTCTCTCTATCGCAAATAAATAAATAAATAAAATCTTTTAAGAAAAGAAAGAAAGGCCTCAAGAAGAAGAAAGTTAGGCCAGGCCTAAAAGCAGGGGCTCATGACCTGGGTCCATGAATGGAATTCAGGGCTCTGTGAACTTGGATGGGGGAAAAAAATTATTTTCACTAACCCTTAACCGAAATCTAATATTTCCTTCTATTACAAAGTAGCATTAGTTCTTTGCCACCAATAGAAATTGTGGGTATTTTCAAATTACATTATGGTTATAGATACCCTAAAATATCATTTGTGCCCAGTAGTACTTCAAATTACAGTAATTTTTAGACTTTTGCTGGAACTTATTTAAATACAGAAAGAAACACATCACAATTTTGTTATATTTTGATAACTGTATAATCAATATACTTCTTTTGAATCCTATTCATTTCATGCATTAATTTCAAGCATTTAAAAACGTTATTCTGGGAAACACGTCTCTAGACTGCTACCAGACATAAGACAAAGAGCCCCTGCGTCAGAAAATGGCTAGGCCGCCTGCCGGCAGTTATGAGGCAGAGACCCTCAGGGAAGGAACTGGCATGCCCACAGGCCAGGCAGGACAGGTGACTGGACGCTGCAGCTTCCGGTAGAGAGATGTGGAGATACAGCAGAGGGGAGCTGAAGTCCCAGGCTAATGTAATTTCACAGATAAATTTGTAGGTCACGGGAAGCAGTGGAAGGTGTTTCCACAAGGCTTCAAGTTGCGTTTAGGAAGGATGCCTTGCAGAGCTGTGAGAGCAGGATTGGAAGGGAAGAAACCGGGGGCCAGGAAACCGGTTTCTGCAAGGAGCAATGCCAGCTGGTGTAATGAGAAGGTGGTGAGTTCCAGCACACCCGCAGGACTAGAAGGGCAGGCTGGGACCTCGGTTTACCAAGGAGGGGAGGAAGGCCATGTTTGTTTTCAAGCCTGGGTGATTAGGAGACTGATCATAGCTCCTTGCATATGCACTGAGTGTTTACTGCATGCCAGATGCTGTTTTAAGCCTTGCAGTGACATTTATATGTCATTAAATTTATCTCATTTAATCTCCATAACCACCCTGGGAGGTCAGGGCAATAATCCCCCTTTTACAGGTAAGAAAATGAAGTCTGGAAACGAAAGGTGAGGGTCTCACAGCCAGCAAGGGAGAAGAGAGTGTGTTATTGAAAGAAACAGGAAAAAGAATTGGTTTGGGGGAAATTTTTATGAGTTCAATTTTAGATATTTTTGCATTGTTTTGTCTTCAATTATTTTAAAGGGCTAAAAATTCAAATAAAGTCTGAGCAAAGTTTCTGGTTTATTTCATTCTCCAGACTTTTATTTATTTGTTAATTTATAAATGGTCTCGTCTTCCTGTGAAAAACAGAGAAGAGTCTGGCAGTAAGAGTTTGGCACGTGGACGAGTGCCCCAAACAAGGAAGACTGCGTGGTTTCCAGAAGGTAGATGACTTCTGTTCAGCGGTGCAGAAGGGTAGATGACTTCTGTTCAGCGGTGCATTTTTCCTTTTGTTGTGGTTTGTTTTTCAGGACCGGTCCAGCAGCTGTAGAAGAAGACATGTGGTATATATAAAGTTTGTGATAGTTGGGGGAAATTTTGGTAAGTGCTGCTGCATTTATTTCTAATACCTTTTGTTGTAAAATGGTGCCCAAAAGGGAAGCCATTGCCTTGTTTCGTGCATCTTTTGAATCTGCACTAAACTTAGACAAAATAGGATTTTATAATTAGATGTGACATTTAATCGGTACTTCTGACAGTATGACATTTTTTCTTGTTATTGCTGATGTTATTAAGAAATGTGGGGTTTTCTAAGATTTAATAAGAAGTCTAGATTTAGGGAAGCTTCTGGACATAGGGTAAAGAATACCCTTGACAGTTTAGCTTATGGTCTAGGTAACCCATGGACTATAAGAGTAATAACGTGCAGACCAATAGAATAACAACAGCAATGGAGAGTCTCCGCCGCAGAGAAATCCTTACGGCCTAGCTGTTGAAATGAGAAATGGACAGTAAGCTGTTTGGGGAACGGGAAACTGAAGGGAATCAGGAATCCCAGCATGACAGTGGCCCAAGAGACCAAGAACATTAAGTTCAGCAACCACCCAGAATACCTTGCCAGCAGTAGTAAAAAGAACGGTCTTCAGGGTCAGGCAACCTGGGCTAAAATTTAAGTTCTACATTAATTGGTTGTTACATCCACTCTCTGAGCCTCAGTTTCCTCATCTGTAAAACAAGGCTTGTAATGTTACACACCTCATATGGTTGTGGTGAGAATAAAATGAGCTAGGTAGTGCTGGGGCATAGTAAGTGCTTGATAGAGCCAGTTATTCTTGGTAACGGGACAGCCTCATTTGGAAACTGGACATTTACTGAAGTCAAACCACCAAAAGGTGTACATATCTCCCAGCAGGAGGGCCACCAGGGTTGGGTTGGTCACACCACATTTGCTGTCACAAGGGATATCACAGCTGGTCACCGCAGTCCGTCCTCCAGAGTCCACTCCATAACACACTGTGGCAGCCCCAAGACATTTATCATCTTCTCCGCTCCTGTCTACCCATTCTTAGACAAGCTTGGCTAATTTAACTTCCCTTCCTGCCACCTTTGCAGACAAGTACGGTTACATTTGTTAGAGTTTTATTTCGGTTTTGAAGTTAATGTTACTTTGAATGAAAAGAATGAGAAGGAAAAGAAGAGTCAGGAGTAGTTACCATATTTAGGCTTTCATTTCCAAACCTTTCTTTTGATTTTTTTTTTCATCTGTGCTTATTATGTACCCTTCGCAGAGATCCAGTTATCAGGTGAAATTTTTGAGCTTCGACTAAAAGAATTTGGCTTTTGGGGTAGGGTTTTTATCTGTGGTTGGAAGGAATCAGCCATGTCACTCCCTGCAGATGGGCTGGTTTTTAAGATTGGTGTCCCTAGGTGGACCGCTCCAGTTTCATGGAATCGAAGAGATGGACATGGCCTCGGGGGTTGTCTGGCCCATTCTCCCACTAGCCAAAACAAGTCTCTTCTACAGAACCCCTGACAGAGGAGAGTCCAAATTCTCTCAGAGGTGAGGAGCTTGCTACTGCACAGAGCAGCATGCTCCAATTAAAGAAAACAATTAAGGGGCACAGGAAAAGTATAACGGGTGAGGAAATTGTTCTGGATCTTGGATTTGTAGCAGTATTTATACAACTGTATATTTCATGAAAATGCACAGAATTCTATAATAAAAGGGTGAATTTTGCTCTATGTTAATTAAACCTCAGTTTTATTTTTTTTTTAAAGATTTTATTTATTTGACAGAAAGCACAAGCAGGGGGAGCGGGAGAGGGAGAAGCAGGCTCCCCAGTGAGCAGGGAGACTGACTCGGGGCTCAATCCCAGGTCCCCAGGATCATGACCTGAGCCAAAGGCAGATGTTTAACTGACTGAGCCACCCAGGTGCCCCTAAACCTCAGTTTTAAAATAGAAAAAAACAAAAAAAACAAAAAAAACAAGCAGACAAATACCTGGACATTTAGCTCAAATTGTTAAAACGAAAGAGGGAAGGAAAGCAATCTAGTCCTTACATTGAACCATATGTGCTCCATGAGACGGGAACTTGGTCTTCTTCCTTCCTCTGGTCCCAGCGCCTGGACAGCGCCTAGCACTTAGCAGGCCTATGGTAAGTACTCATTGAGCCAACTATGCTCGTAGTCACTTTCTAAGTACGCAGAGACAAGTCTACCCACTCTCACGCACACCAGCCCTTCGTGTATTTGAAGACCCTCTCCTTCATCATTCATCTTCTCTTCTCTGGGCTGAACTTAACCATGTTCCATCCTTGTACTGTTTGTCTTCTGATGTTATTTCCCTCTCCTCCCCACCCTGCCTCTCCAGCATTAGAAACACTGCCCCTGAGGTGATCCGGCCCACGAGCAGTACAGAGGGCCACTGCTTCTATAGACAGTGTCACTAGATACAAACCCTAATCCTCTTCCTTTGTGATCAGTACTGACTGCCTGGTAATAGACTGAAGGATTTCTTAACAGTAGTCTTCTAAGAATGGAATTCCTCAGAGTGGGGAGGATAGCCATCTAAGAGATAGGGTACAGTAAATCCATCCTCTCTTAAGTGTCTTGACTGAAATGAGGCCAGGCCTTGCCACCCTTTGTTTAAGACAGCAGTCGTGCTGGGCGCCTGGGTGGCTCAGATGGTTAAGCGTCTGCCTTCGGCTCAGGTCATGATCCCAGGGTCCTGGGATCGAGTCCCGCATCGGACTCCCTGCTCCTTGGGAGCCTGCTTCTCCCTCTGCTTCTCTCTCTCTCTCTCTCTCTTTCCCTCTCTCTCTCTCTCCTCCTCTGTCTCTCATGAATAAATAAATAAAATCTTTAAAAAAAAAAAAAAGACAGCAGTAGTGCTGTTTATAAATCTTTCAAGGTAGCACTGTATCACAGATCCTGATTCTTCATTATGAATCACAGGAAGTTTGAAATTCTTAAAATGAAAACTTGTGAGTGCCTTGAAAAATCTAGATTTATTTTCCCCCTGGGCATGCCATGGGGAGATATATACATAACATAAATATAGAGAGAGCACTGTGGTTCTCAACCCGAGTTAATTTTGTTCTCCCACAGGACATTTGGCAATGTCTGAAGACATTTTTGGTTGTCACAACTGGGGGTGGGAGGATGTGTGTACTGACATCTAGTGGGTGGAGGCCATGGTGCTGCTAACCATCCTAGAGTGCCCAGGACAGCACCCCCCACACAGTGATCAGGCCCACGTGTCAATAATGCTGAGACCGAGAAACCTGATATGGAAGTAATAAAAAAAAAATTTAAATGTCCAAAGTACTTATTATTTTGAAGGTTTAAAATTTTAAATATTTTGATATTTAATTATATGTAAATATATAACTAGAGAACATAAAGAAGTTTGGTCAGAGAATCATAGGGCCAAAAGGTCTCATAAGGGACTCTCTTACACTACCCCTAACTCCAAGCAAGAACTGACTTAAATGAATTCAGACAGATAGATGGGCATCTGAAGTGAGACTCACACAACATGATCCCCGCATTCACACAAAGGAGGTCGTCTCCTATTTTAATTTCGGCCCCAGCTTCTTCAGAAGTGCCTGCCTTTAGATGGTCTCTGAGATGAGACGGTATTTCAATCTGGGCTAGTCCTTCCTTTTGAATCAGGGCAGCAATTCTGGTGTGATGAAAATGTGCTTAGGGAGGAGAGAGATCTCATTACAGATGATTGAGATTGGGTATTTTGGTACACAGGGCTGTTTATTTGCATCAATTTCCTAGTGACACCACAGTCTGGTTTAAATGTAAGTTGTTGAGGGCTTTTGTAGCCCGAGACGGCTACATTTGCTGAAGCAGGGAGATTAAAGCAACATATGTCAAGTTGTGATATAGGACAATCCACTTGAAAAGACTTTAATTATAGAGCTTATTTTGGGAGGGTAACTGTGCTTTTTGTGAGGTATATTTTGGGATCCACTAACCCAGCTTCAGGACTAGTAATATCTTCCCAGAAAGGGTGTGGCTTGTGCTTGTGGACATAAATATTTTCCTACCAAAACCTTTGGTATAATATTCCTTCAACTTTACTACCCATCCATTTTTCTTTTTCTGATAATCTTTCCCTTTGCAAGTATGCTATGAAAATGCGTTCCAGAAACTTGGAAAAGAAAAGGATAAAAGATCTCATTTCAGATGGCCAAGTCCAGAGATTTAGGAACTTTACATTATCAGTCTGCTGTTTTTAAGATGAACAGAATTTGGAGGAATGTACCAATGCTGAATAGTAAGCAGCATCGGGTGAGACTGTAAGAACCATGCTGATGCTGAATATTTTAATGTAAGGAATGATGGAGAAGCTACATGTGTATAGCTACCTAATTTGCCAGCACTGCCTCCCCAACTGGGTGATTCTTACGGGCCACCTCAGTGCCCTTTTACCACAGCTGACAACCTAGAGCGAGTATCCGTTTGCACATTTGCTCTTCAAGACTCATGCCTTTCCCCAGCTCTGCCTTTGGTGGCCTCCTTCACCTCCCTATTAATACCTGAGGCCTTTGGCCTTCTTCAAAGGAAGGGTTGGAACTTTCTGCCCAGTCAGCATTTCCTAGTCCTCATTTGAAAGCGAATGATAAAGGAGAAATTAGATCAACAAAATAAAATCAGCTTTTTGCTTACACAATGTGTGTGGGAGGTAGGTGGGGAGGAGGAAAAGAGGTCAAGTAAGAACAATTTTTTAACCCAAAAACCAGTCACACCTGAGGGCAGAGAAGCATTTTTACCTAAATTCTAAGTCATGAAAGCAATGAAATGAGAGCAAGAATGCTCCATAAGGGAGAGGTGAAGACAAAGCCTCCTAACTGTAGAAGTCTCTGGAGAGGTGTCCCTGTTCTCCCAGAGGCAGTCTGCAGCCTGCATCTGAATCACCCAGAGAAATGGATTTAAGAGTGCAGGTCCCTGGGCCCAGTCCAGATGGACAGAATCCAAACCCCTGTGGCAGGTGTATTCTTCATGCCACTCTCCAGGTGGCTCTTGTGCACTAACACTAATTATTAGTATTACTCTTGTACTCTTGTACTACTAATATGCAGCCCTG